ATATATATATATATATATATATATATATATATATATATATATATATATATATATATATATATATATATATATATATATATATATATATATAGCTCAAAACCATAGCTCAAAAATAGCTAATTCAAAAAAGGTTGTCTTTTCCAAACCATAAACCTTAAACTCTAAGCGTGCAAAGCATAAGGGAGCATCATTTAATCACTTTAGAAAACGTGGTAAATAATCCATTCACAAAAAGCTACAATATTCAACCTTACTTAAAACTTGTGCTCCCATTTAGCTTTGCGCGCTTAGAACACAAGTTTTAAGGTTTAGACTTTAAGGTTTGCTAAGGACAACCTTTTTTGAATTGGCTGTATTTCACAGCTACCGCAGCAACACACATACACAATATATATACATATATATATATATATATATATATATATATATATATATATATATATATATATATATATATATATATATATATATATATATATATATATATGTATATACATATATATATATATATATATATATATATATATATATATATATATATATATATATATATATATATATATATATATATATATATATATATATATATATATATATATATATATATATATACATATACATATACATATATATACATACATACAGGGTGTATAAAAAAAGTGCACAGATTTGAAATTGCTCTTAAATTCGCAAAACAGCTATTAGTATCCAGTTTTTGATGTATATAGCTTCTTTGGGTACTTACAATGTAAAAAAATGGAAAAATTTTCTCGAACTCAAACAATTGTTGGGTTTTTAATTACTGTACAAAATTTCAGGCAATTTGCTTTAGTTTAAGCCCCTTTAACTATTCATTTTTCTCTAAAAAATTAGCCTTTCGCATGCTTAATTAATGCATTTACCTAATTTGCATATTGCTGACATATGCTAATTAGACAAAAGCGGCGTAAACTGAAGCAAATTGTCTGAAATTGTGTACAGTAATTAAACACTCAACAAACTTTCCATCTGTTAACTTAAAATATGATTAAAGCTTTTAAATTTCGTGCGGAAGCCATTTTTAGTTTGTTGGAAAAGACCCCCCCCCCCCCCCCCTGGTTCACAAACTTTGAGTTCGAGAAATTTTTTCCATTTTTCTACATTATAAGTACCCAAAGAAGCTACATACATAAACAACTGGATATTAATAGCTGTTTTGCGAATTTAAGAGCAAATTTCAAATCTGTGCACTTTTTTTTATACACCCTGCATATATTATAGCTTTTATAGTCCAGGACCGGTATAGGAGTTTATATATACAGTGTGTTTAAATAAAAGGGTAATCGAACTTCAGCGCGCTATTCCACGTGAATTACTCCGCGTATGAACAAAATGGTTTCATATTCGGAAAGATACGGCTTTTAGCTATTGAATGACATGTTGTTCATGCTAAGTGGGGGAAAAATAAGCAAGTACGTACGAGTCCAATAGAAATGTTAGTCAGAATCGCATAATTTCACCCTCTGCATAATATCATTCAACAGCTAAACGCCTGATCTATCCGAATATTAAAAAATCTTGTTCATACGCGGAGTAATTCAGATACAATAGCGCGCTGAAGTTCGGTTAACTTTTTTTGATACACACTATATAGCACAGGAAATCTCAACTATTTTAGGGTAAAGAAATTTTAATCTCTGCCAGGTATATTATTTCGTGCATGATTAGCATGTAGTTGACTTGGGGTGGTGCATGGTCATTTTCTTGTAAAATATTATACATAGACAAATTTTTCCTTGCAATAACCACCCCTAAAAGCAACCCTTCTAAACACTATAAGCACTTCATAAAGGCTGTCGCTTTTGCATGTCGGCACTGCCGTTTCAGGGCGGGGTCATTTTCAGGACTTTAGTCCAGATTCAGATTTTGGCACATATGCCAATGTTGACCGCCATGGTCATTTTACTCTAAAACAGTTGAGATTGCCTGTGCTAAATAAAACGCATATACAAACTCCTGCGCAGGTCCTAGACTATAATTCCTACGGCCCTAGCACATCGGAACAAATCCATCCTTCGATAGTACCAATTTCATTAAGATTGTTCAGCAGCACGTCAATACTAGGTCTCTTCTCTTTTTCCTATAATTAATAAAAAGTCTCGCTTAATTTAAGTTACATTAGAGCTGCTCCTATTGGTTCATTACATCGTAATATATTAATCGTCATCAACAATCGATTACAGGGAAATGCATGGTCTTTTGAAACTATGTATACCAGGTGCGATGCATTTTTCACTGTTTAGTGCTTGAAATATTTGCTAAATTGACTGGAAATACTTAGAGATTTCATCGTAGAATGGCCTAGTTATATTTATTTGCTCTTTGACTAAAATGTTTAGATGTATTATTGCTAAACATGCCATTTTTGAGAATTTGGTTTGCAACTAGGTTTCAACGCCATCATCCCATTGAAAACATTAGGTCACGTCAGCTAGTTTCCTATCCATGCATTTTATTATCCATGGTAGCAGTAAAGAACACGTTTATTATCGAAAATTAAATAACTATTCATCTAAAAAGTTATGTCCTCCAGCATAACGTATGCAAAGTCTTGCACGTTTGACCACACTATCCAACAAACGTTGGATTATTTGCACGTCGATGTTGCGGCATTCGGCAATAATCGCTTCGCGAAGCGGTCTCAGATTGTTCAGCTGTTGATCATGAGGCATGCACGCTCAACGTTTTGTGTTTGAGATAACCCCCGTCCCCCACAGGAAAAAATCACACACGGTGAGATCTGGAAAGCGTGGAGGCCAAGGCAAATCACCGCCTAAACTTATCACGCTGCCTGGAAACTGCCCACGAAGGTACTGCATCGTCGCTTTACTGCATGGTGTGACAAGGTGACTGTTATATCTTCAAAATTGTTATTTATTTCAACGTACCTAAAACATGAAACCTACACACATGTGCTCACTTCCAAAATCCCCGACCCCCTTGATGCAACGTTCTATACTTCATGTAACACCAACATAACATCTCCCTCTTTCTCTCACAACAAATAGTTCTAAGTGAATCTGGTAATGTGAACTAAAACCTGTAGTCCATGCTACGATTGATAACACAACTAAGTATACAAATAACTATCAGAGTTATTTACCGTCCATAAAAATCTGGCGGTACGCCTCTGTTTGCTCTTAAAGGATACCTATCTTCAATTATGTCTTGATCATTGTCCTGTCGTGCTTGTGGGGCCGTAATGGTAATATCATCTTCTGACTCAGGATTCGGAACAGTTTCTCTATACGCTCCACTAAATTTCTTAAAATGCGAACCTTTTCTTGTAATCACATGATCACCCCTTTGCGCTGTTACTCTGGAATATCGCACATTGATAACTTTGTATGGTTGAGGACGAAACATGGTTGTATACTTGTTCTTCTTTTTCTGTTTCACCAACACTGTATCTCCTTCCTTTATCGATGACTTTCGTGTACGTCTTCTGGTATCTACATATTGTTTTGACTTTGCCTTTCCTTTCAAAACCCTTTTTGCAGCTGTATTGGCAGGTGCCTGAGAGAAAGACGGAACGGTAGATCGAATTACTCGTTTGTAAAGCATCTCGGCTGGCGCCACACCTGTAGATATGTGCGGCGTAGTACGATAATTCATCAAAAATGCGAATAGTTCTCTTTGCCAATCTCGACCCTCTGCCCAAGCCGCTCGAATAGCTTTACCCATAGGTTTCATGAAGCCTTCCACTTTTCCATTGGCCTGGGGCCATAAAGGTGTTACACGGTGATGGTGGATGCCTTGTGTTGTCAGATAGTCCTTAACTTCCTTGGACAGGAACGGCGACCCATTATCGCCCTTAATTGTGTCTGGCAGTCCGTGTCGGGCAAACACTTTTTCAAACGCTCGTATTGTATGAAAAGCTGTGGTTTTATTCATAATCTCAAACTTCTGGGAATCCGGTTGTTTCATCTAACATCACCAATAGATGCTCTCCTGTAGGTGCTGGTCCATAGAAATCAACATGAATACATGACCATGGTGCCATTGGAGGTGAGACAACTGCTAGATGTGGAGGGGGTTCAGGATTACCAGATATTTGGCACCTCAGACACTCCTTTACATGTTGCTCTCCTTCTTTATCTAATCTAGGCCAACATACCTTGGTTCTCAAATTTTGTTTGGTCTTGACAATTCCCAAGTGTCTATTTCGAAGTGATATTGGTATAATCAGTCGGTGTCCTCTCAACAGTACAACCCTTACTGATGTTATTTCATGCCGTATTGCAAAATAAGCTGATATGGATTTGTCTTTCCAGTTGCCAAACTGAAGTGCTCGTCCAACTGACTGCAGTTCTTTATCGTTCTTTGTCGCTTCTTGCACCTCTGACAAGGTAATTGTTCTGGGAATGGATTGCTCTGTTATAAAGTTAATATATTCTTCGGCAATAGACTGTCCCGAGGGCTCGTTAATTGATGCCCGTGAAAGGAAATCTGCCGGATTTCCTGTGCCTGGACGATACTTGACGGTGTAATTATACTGCTGGAGGCGCATTGCCCATCTCTGTATTCGAGCAGATTGTTTGGCCTTTGCTGAGTAAAGGATTTCTAACGCTTGATGATCTGTATACAAGGTAAACTGACAACCAACTAAATATAAATGAAATTTCTCGCATGCCCACACACATGCCAACACTTCTCGTTCTGTCTGACAGTACCGCTGTTCAACTACTGTTAGTGCTCTACTAGCAAAAGCAATCACTTTCAAAATGCCCTGTTCGTCATGTTGAACCAGGAGCCCCTAGGCCCCCAGGCCAACGTACACTGTTCAGATAGTGAAGATTTAACCTGATCAAAGGCTTGTTGATGACTAGCGTCCCATGTCCATGGAACCTTTTTGCGATTCAATTTCCGTAGCGGCGCCGTAATGGTAGAGAAATTAGGAATAAACTTCGAACAATAATTCACGAGTCCTAGAAAGCTACATAGTTCTTTTACATTGTTTGGGGCAGGTGTATTTTTTATTGCCACAACTTTCTCCTGGTCAGGCCTAATCCCATTCTTACTAAGAATCATGCCATAAAACCATAAACTGTCCACATTGAAAAGGCACTTACTTTTCTTTGCGGTCAATCCGGTGTCTCTTAGTCTCTGCAATAGAGTTTGAAGATTGGCATCATGTTCTTTTTGAGTTCGCCCCCAAACAATTATGTCATCAACAATGTTTTTAACTCCATTCAATCCTTGCAACAGGGGCGAATCTAGGGGTAGTCAGATTAGTCACGCGACTAACGTAAAAAAAGGCATATAAAAAAATTGGACTAAGGTTTTTGAATTTTTTTCCAGCGCAAACGCTTCTCTTCATTTCTGATCATGCAATCAAAACTACATCACACTCCAGCATATAAACTTCGATCAGTTTTTGCACATTGAGCCAGCGATTGATTAGTCAAACGATAAGTCAAATAAGCGGTATTGAAATGAAAATTGACTATTCTGCATTTTAGTTCATGTTATTTGATTGGTCAAATTTGCTCAGATTACACATTACAGGCATGTTGATTGGTCAGACCTATTTTGACTAACGATTGCGCAATTTTGACTAATCCTGCAAACAGATAGCAGCTTCTGATTGGACAATTTGCGCAAAAGAGTTAAAGAACATCTCCTCTGATTGGCCTTCTAATCTTCAATTTGGAAGCATTGTGCACTTGGTAGCTCTGTTGCAGCTCTGTACAATTTTACAAGCGAATTATTTCGCTTAATCTTAGTATATTTGTTGAACTATTTTCGAAATAAAGATTTCGAAAGGGTTATATCGTTATTTGTTACGATAAGGGATGCTTTCTGGTGTTCTGTCGAGAATATTTCAAGCTGATAAATTCGATGGATGCAAGAAAATTGTCTTGGCCGAAACTATGTGTTGATTTCTCGTCGTCTATATTTTCAAGAGATTAATAAGCGGTGTATGGCAATAAGGTAAAGTGGTTTAAATTTTGAACAATAAATCGTTGAACTGAACGTACGATTTGCATAATTGTGCGAGGTTGTAGATCCAAAGTTTCATATACTGCATACATATTCATTTATATGTGTATAAAATTAAAACACCTCAAGTGGCAGAAACTTGATCTCAAATATTTGATCATGTTGGATAAAAAATATTTATTGTGTACATGCTTTATAGAGTATTGATTGACTGATAATAGCTCTACAAATGTACTTTATAAAGATAATAATATAATCTTTGGTTATATTTTTAGATCTAATGCAACTGGCAATGGCCTGTATAGCTCTGTCCCTATAAAGCATTGACAGGTACCAATGACCTATAAATTTGACCTTGATAGTTTAAATGTTTACAGTGCAAGTGTGAAAGGTCTATACAGTAGGTCACTTTTAGTTTTTATACAGTATAAGCAAAGAAGCACTATGGTTGAAGACTAATTAAGTTAAATTAAATGACTTGGCTTGGTCATGATGCAAATTTACCAGGATATTATTCCTAACATACTGTAGGAAACTTTATTAATACATTTTCTGGAACATGAGGTTAAAGTTAAATATATCGGCTTGCAAAAAGACCACTCTCGCCTCCAATAACAATAACCTCGCTCTTGTACACAACACTGGCATGAGAAAAACCTTCCTTGGGCATGAGAAAAAACTTCCTTCATCATCAACCAAACTTAGCCTTTCAAGATCACTACCTTAATTCCCATAATCTCCCCCCCTCCTCAAACATTCGGGCTTTGTAGACAAAAGCTGATGCCAAATATCGGTTTGATCTCATTGGCTTGAGACGGGTCCATTGCATCTTGAACCAGTTAAATTTTTCAACAGACCAGGGCTTGAAATAACAACTGATTACCAATCAATAATCAGCAGGAAATTGCCTATGATCAGTGGAAAAGCAGGGTTTTCGACCTGAAAAAGCAGGGAAAGTCATGACTGCTGATCACCATGATCAATCACCATGATTGGGAATTTTGGGAATGTTATTTCAGGCCCTGACAGACAAACACCATGTTGATAGTATGTTTCTATATACAGTATGTAAGAAGCATAGTGTAAGAATAATAGAATACTGTGTTAAAAACCTTGCCAATTATTTCAGATAACTAGATAAGTAAAGTAATAGTCATTTGTAATGAATCTTTTGTATTTGAATCTACTGTGATTAAAATATGTTTAATTAAAATGGCAGGTAAAATAAACTTGTTTTCAATAAAAGTTGGCTTCCAATGAAGCTGCAGCTTTGAGGCACTATTTCACTTGTGATGTTATACATTTTCATAGTGGACAGTATATAACAAGATGATGAATTTAATTAGATTAGACATAGGTTAGTAATATGGGGAAGGGGCTAAAGGGAAAAACTGGGCAATTTCACATATTGTCACCCATTTTTAACCAAGCTCCTTTTGCTATGGTGAAAGGTGTGAGGTGGGTTTATGGCACCTTAAAACCAGATTGCTCATTTTAGGTGGTTTTCATTGTCACCCATTTCTAAGTTCTAACCAAACTCCTTTTGCTTTTGCAAAAGGTGTGAAGGCAAGCAATCTAGTTTTAAGGTGCCAGAAACACGTGCTTGTGTTCAGCTTTTTCAAGGAGCTGTCCTTGTTGGATCATGGTTTACTATTTTTGGTAAATGTGTTTCCTAGGCATGCTGATGAACCAAGGTATACACTGTAAGGCAAAACAGTCTATATATTACTTTATCATATATATGCTGAACATTGGCAGGTACAAAAACTATGTCATTTGCGCATTTGTAGTTTGATAAAATAAAATATCTATACTCCCACGAAAATTGGACTATCATCATGACATCGAATGACGTCATGGCAAATGACGTCATCACGTTTTGCGTCATCGATAATGTCATAGATTTTTGACTAACGTGCGAAAAATCCAAGATCCGCCCCTGCCTTGCAATGTATGCTGGATAGCATTTTGAAACACTTCGCTTGCCGAGTTAATTCCGAAAGGGAGTCTTTTCCACTGGAAAAGACCTTTATGAGTCGTAAAAGTTGTTATACCACGCGATTCTTCGTTAAGCACAATTTGATGGTATCCGCTTCTTAAATCTAGGCGACAAAAATGAGCTGCATTGCTCATATCATCTGTTAGTTCCTCAATTGTAGGCATAGGGTGGTGTTCCCTCTTAATGGCTTCGTTAACTCTGCGATAGTCCCCACATACACGTATTTCGTCCGGATTTTTCGGCTTAGGCACGATCACTACTCCACTGACCCACTCTGTACTTTTATTAACGACAGGTTCAATCAAATCATTATCCTGCGACTCTTGAAGCCACTTCTCTAACTGAGGACGAAGATTAAAAGGTATTCTACGGTATGTTTGGGCCACAGGTGGCACACTATCGTCAATGCGCAGTTTTTGTTCAAACCCTTTAAGATGTCCTACACCTTCAAATACATCCGCATACTCTTCTAAAAGAGTCGAGACTCAACCTGTGTCTGGCGTACTTGTGCACACTTTTGTCCTTTTCTCACCATCACTACTTGTCGAGTTACTGGTTGTAGTGGGTTGTGGTTTGTCGCAAGGCTTTTCTATCCAAATCACCCTCTTGTACTGCTTGCTGAGAAACTGAATTTAGATCAAACTTAATAAGTCTTAATTGCTGTGCTGTTGTATTACTAAGCAATTTACCATATTGAGATGCGGTAATGTAAATTGTAGCCACTGTCATACAATGTTTTGATTCTACTAATGTCTCCACTTTGCCTAATAGGGGAATATGGTTATTTTCTCCAAAAGCACGAATCTTTGTGTTGGTTTTTTTAAGGATATTGGTTCTTTGCTTTGTTTGCTTAAATGTTCGAAATCCTCAGGACCCAAAACGTTAACAGACGCACCACTGCCCACCATCATTTTCATCGGGACTCCATTAACACGGACCGTAGAATAGGGATGCTTATTTTGCTGTGCTTGTTGAACTGTGAACATGTGTTCTGAACCGCTGTCTGAGTCACTGCTCGAATTACTTGTTGATTTGTTTGTTGATGAATGCCGTTCGTCAACCTTATTAACACACTGGAATGAACTAGTGGCTCCTCCGGTTGTTTTACATACACGAGCAAAATGCCCCCTTTTATGACACTTGTAACATTCTTTATCTATAGCTGGACATTTCTGGTTATCCTTGTGTGGAAACCCCAGTCCACATTTAAAACATCTCTTACTAGATGATGACGAATACTTACTGGTTGTTCTAGGTCTTCGGTGATCCTGTTGTAATTGATTAGTATATTCCTCATTACCATCAGAAATGTCCTTTTTTATAATTTCCTTTGTTTGTTGGTCTGTACGAGCTAATGCTCTTCCATAATCTAATATTTGTGACAGGGTAAATGTTTTTTCCATTAAAATCTTTCGTCGCAATCTGTTAGATAAATATCCTTCAATTATTTGTTGTTTCAGCTCAGTATCTGTGTCTGCGAATTCACATGTTTTGGCCAAAGTACATAATCTAGTATAATATGCATCTAATGTCTCATGTTCTTGTTGTTTAGCTTGACGAAATTTATATACCTCGAAAGGTACATTCTTAGAAGGACTAAAATATTCAGTGAGCTTTTCACACGCCGTCTTAAAGTCATCGTCGTCACCATTATCCGGTAGCGTGTCAAAAATGGCCTCCACTTCGCGACCTGCCGCGTACAAAAGCATAGCCCGCTGCCGTGCTTTCGACTTGATGTCCATTGCCAGCAAATATCTTTGAAATCTCTTGAAAGCACTCACATCCGTCTTAGGGTCAAACGGTGGCATGGGTTGTAGATTTCCCGCGCTCGCCATAATAAAAATGGCACAAATACCTTATATGTCAGATTGTCCGCCGATTTTTTATCTCACGTTTGAATCTTCACTGTTCGCAAATACCCAAAATGAATCACTCTTTCTTTAATATTAACCGGTAATGCATAAATTTACCCTCGTCGCCAATGTTATATCTTCAAAATTGTTATTTATTTCAACGTACCTAAAACATGAAACCTACACACATGTGCTCACTTCGAAAATGCCCGACCCCCTTGATGCAACGTTCTATACTTCATGTAACACCAACATAACAGTGACCCATCTTGCTGCCACCACATAACAGACCTGTCGATGTTGTGCCAGCGACAATCTCTCTGTATCACATTATAACGGATGATTCTCAAATATTCTCGGGTGTCCAGGTGTTCTTGAACAAAGTGGGGACCCAAAACAATCCCTGTTCTGGTTAAACCAACCCACAACACTACTTGATCAGCGCCTTGCAGGAATTCGACGTATAATGATCTGGTGGATGGTCATCGCCACGAGCTGCGTATTTCCTGACATTTTTCGTGTTAATTTCTGAATTTAGGCTAGCTATAAACTAAATTTAATTTGATCCACACAAGAAGGACGAAATCTATCATTATAGCTTAAAAGAACATCTTTAAGTTAATAATATTGCCAAATTTGGTTTCAAAATGTTGTAAAATACGGAAAATATATAGCCCTGTGAAAGTAGCAAATTTTGAGTATTTAGTATTACGCGTGGAAAAATGCACCACTTCTGAGTCGAAATTTATTTTCCAATTTGAGTATTATACATATAGTCTTAGAAGTTCTTTCAAATGAGAAAATAAAATAACATATATTGCCATTTCCCTTAAAGTACTGTTTAAGACATGAGCAGGACTGCTTTATATAGCACGAGAGACCGCGTTGTTTAAAACACGAGCAGGACTGCTTTATAGCACGAGAGACCAAAACACGAGCAGGACAGGTGTGCTTAGTGCAGAGAGAGAGCGAGAGCGAGAGAGAGAGAGAGAGAGAGAGAGAGAGAGAGAGAGAGAGAGAGAGAGAGAGAGAGAGAAGAATGGCTTAGAAAACGCCCATTTGGTGATTTCATTGACGAAATAATTTTAAAAATCAAGGTTGTCTAAGCCGAGAAATCAAAGATAAAGTTTATGTAAATGAACATGATTTTTATTACATATAAAACCACCGACTCAGGCATTTAGGCATTTCTGCTGACGAAAGAGTGAACTTCGTCATCTCGATACTCTGTTTCGTGTATATGGTAAAAAAAAGAAAGCGAAGACATGTGCCGGATTTGCACGGCCGCAGCCGCAAGTTCGAATCCTGCTAGAGGGCTTATATATACTGGCATAGGTTATGCTCAACATTTTCAAATTTCCATCTACAAAAGCCCTTTAACAATTTGAGTTATGCATATACAGTGTTCCAAACATTGAACTGTTTTAACTTCCACTCCGTAAATATTCCGACATTAATTCCGCTTGGTATAGCTAAATTACTGTAAGTTATCTCGATTTTTTTGGCAACCTCTTACCTCTAAGCAGTCTTCAATCAACTCCCCCATTTTTCGGTGTAGTTTATTTTTTAATTCATCAACCAGTTTTGCCTATATAGAGAAAGAACAGTAGAAATTTTTCCAAAAAGTTATATCAATTTAACACCTACGTGTGCCTTTATCCAGGGCGATAACTGGATGACATAAAAACGATATAGAATTAGCAGCTTCTCTTGTAAGGATATAGGTTGCATCTTGATATTCCACTTGCGTATGGGACAGCCTTCTTATAAGAATGGACCAAGTGATGTTATAAGATCTTCCTCTTCTCTTTAATCTTCAAAAATATGCTTCGATATATAGCAGTTATGCTTCGATATATACCGGTTTCATTCGTTATCTCTGAAGTTCGAACGATTTCTTATGGTTTTTGTGCCTTTAAATTCGCGAGCTGTTACTCCAAAGTACCGCTTAGAATCACCGTTGTCGTGACTCTTTATACTTCGGTTTGATAAACGATAGCCTGGGTCAAACACTTTTTTCTGGAGCGGGAATTCGTCTTTCTTGCATGCCCCAGTTACAGTTGGTTTCTTTGGTTGCGGTGAGTTGGGTCGATCCAATTCTCGTCTTGTGGTTAGAAATGGTGGTCTTGGCATTCTTCGTGCAGCTGCAATAATCTTGATTGAATTACGGTAAGATCTTGATTTTGGGAAAAGTTTGCCAATTTTTGTTACTACGGTTTTGCTGTAAGGCGGGTTAAACCATATTACGTTTCTGTGTCTTTTGCGTTTCGGTTGGCTGGTACAACTATGATTGTTGGAGTCGCCGGGTAGGAATCAAATGGTTTCGTACTCAGTATAAAGCCTATAGAGCTAATATAGATAAAATAAACCTGGTTTACTTCTTTATAAGATTTATTCACTACAAACTTGTTTCGTATGACAAGCAATGCTTGCCACACTCATCAGGTGAATTTAAATTCACCTGATGAGTGTGGCAAGCATTGCTTGTCATACGAAACAAGTTTGTAGTGAATAAATCTTATAAAGAAGTAAACCAGGTTTATTTTATCTTTATCTATATATATATATATATATATATATATATATATATATATATATATATATATATATATATATATATATATATATATATATATATTTCCTTGAGACACAACTGTACGAAAGGTTCAAGGAAAAGTATGGACAGGACGAAAAAGAAAACTTCGTGAAATTGTTTAAACGTTTCTTAGACGACTGCTTTCTACCCTGGCAGAAGACTGAAGCAGAACTCGAGGAACTTCATAAAATGTTAAATTCACTTCATCCAAAAATACAGTTCACGATGGAATATGACAATAAGAAACTACCGTTTTTGGATATACTACTCTACAAGAACGCGGAACGGTTAGAAAGTGATATACATTACAAACAAACGGACACACACCAATATCTGGATTATCATTCATGTCATCCTGGACATACAAAATCAAACATTCCCTACACACTGGCAAGACGGATCTGTGCAATTGTAACAAATCAAGATTTAAAGAAGAAGCGTCTTGATGAACTAGAATATTTCCTACAAAAGCAGAACTATCCGAAATTGCTTATAAAAAACGGAATACAGAAGGCTTCATCAAAAAACATTGACGAATTGAGGGCACCAAAACATAAAACTGATGACAATGTCTTGCCTTTAGTAATAACTCATAATCCCAACAATCCTCAAGTAATTGGAAAAATAAGGGAGAACTTTAAATTTCTAAACAATTCCGAGAAAATGAAACGAGTATTAGACAGAACAAAACTCATTGTAAGCAAACGCCAACCGAAGAACTTGAAGCGATACTTGACAAAAGCACAATTCAATTCAGAGGACAGAGAACACTGTGTAACAAAATGCGAGGAAAAGCGATGTGGAGCATGCGATGTTTTAATCACAGGAAAGTCTGTTACATTAAAGAGCGGAAAAACCTGGAAAGTCAATTCAACGATGAACTGCAAAGCGAGATATGTCATTTACGTGATCATTTGCTCAAAATGCGACAGCTTCTACGTCGGCCAGACAGAAAACTTACAAAAAAGAGTGACATTGCACAAGGAACAAATTCGACACGAAGAGTATAGACATCTAAAAGTAAGCGAACACTTAAATATGTGTAACAACGGAATTTTCAAAATAATGCCTATATATCAATGCATTAACACGGACAGACTTTTAGGGAGATGAAAGAAATAGAACTTATCAATATACTGAATCCGGATCTGAACGCTAATTAAAAAACCATTAAGTTTATGCTTACATTTAGATCAATAGAATGTTTTTAACGGGTGACTTCACACCATGTAAATATATGCATTCCTAACATAGTTATTATAATATGATATCATAGAACGTAGATAATAGATAAACTAAATTCCACTCATCGTAAATATGCACCTGAGGAGCTAACATTAAAGCGAAAACGTTTGTGCAAAATTTGAGTGGCTTTTATTTTATTTTACGTTATAAATGTCTCTTTTGGTTGCACATTGAAATCTTTTCTATATACAACACTTGTATCTTGTTATCAGCAACATTTCACTATATATATATATATATATATATATATATATATATATATATATATATATATATATATATATATATATATATATATATATATATATACACATTATGCCTAAGCCTTTATGCGCACGCTCACTGCATTTCACAGTTTAAAAACGGCGATAAAGCACATAAGTAAAGACATTGTAGCGCCCTTCAAGGAAAGCTCAAACAACGGCAACTGTGGACAGCTGTTTCGCCCTTTTTGGGGCCCATCAGCACAGTGCACCGATGATGAGCTTCCACATACCAAGAATATATATACTATAGAAGACAGTGTGGTGGATGTG